TAGTTATTCTCAAACATGGGTGCTATCATTATGTTTTTCTTCATCAGAGCAACCAGACTTTGCGCGAGCGAAGAGCGTGAATGAAAAGAGTAAATTTCAGCTTTATTAAAAGCCTAGGAAGTTGAGATAAAGTAGAGCATACTAGTAATTAGATAGAAGGATTGTCGTGAAGTATATAAATGATATTTCAGAGAGAAGTGGCTTGAATGATTAGAACCTGTTGGATATGCTGACCTGTAAGATGTCTGGTGAACTTGTGTATGGCCCATGGGGTAGCATCTTGACAAGAAACTGAGCAGGCTTGTAGATGTTAGGAGCACAAGCAGTATTTCTGATAATTTAGATCTGTGAAGTCATTATTGTTTTAGTTGTTATTTTAAATCTTTTGAAGCTAATTTTTTGTATATTGAGGATCTAAACCCATATTTAATTCTCGAGCTGTCAAAAAACGCATGTTGCTGTCGTACGGATAACAGGGATTCACATTTGTGACCACTACCAAATCTGCTGATCTGCATGCGCCACCCTCCCTCCCTTTTTACATTAAGCTCTGAGACCTTTTACAATGACTGCAGTTGTAGTATTGGATTGCTTTGACTCCGTCCCAATCATGCAGTACGCTGCACATTAACGGCTTTCATGATAAGTGCTTCCCATTAGGTCACATGGCACAATAATACCAGAAGACATTGTTAGTAGTATTATCATCATACTAGTGAACAAGTGGATTACTACAAAGGACTAAGAAATTAGGTTTCCCTTAAGAGGTTTTCAATCTGCCATGCTGACGCAAATCGCGCAAAAGGATAGTCCTAGAATTGACCCCTTTTGATGCAGTAAAACAGTCTAACATTACCTTACCTAATTTTCGTATCAAAGATCAAATTTCTTTCCTATTATAAAACTACGATAAGACTGCTGGCAAAAATGGAATAAATACATTATTGACTCAAAATAAAACATCAATAAACTTTATCTCACGGATGCTGTTTACAACAAAGTTTTATAGGAGAATTGACTTCAAGCTTTATTTTTCCCAGATATTTGTATCGCATTCATCTGATATCTGGGTTTTTTGTTAATGCGAAGACAATATTTCTATATCTCTTTATGTGTTACACATACTATTTTGCAGACTGTTCTGACTGACTCTAATGTTAGATTGAACAAACAAACTGTAATTTATATAATAACTTATCCATGTCTGTACAATTGGTATGTTCCTGCATAAACAGAAATAAATATATATAAATTTTCATGACCGATTTTTATATGGTGTGCGTTATACATTGCAGGGTAAGCAACGTGCCACTTAACCAGCTTGTTAATATTCTGGTCGACAGGCACATGGACTCATGTGAAAAATGGGCCAAATCCATTTTATCTAACTCACACCACCCTCTTTACTCACAACTCTCCCCTTGCAGCTCACCAGGCAAAACCAGAAGCCTGTATAGAAAACTATATGCTCGCACCAGCAAGTACAAAACTCAACCATATCCTACTTAGCTCGTGTTCTGTGTGATAAAGAAAGCATTAGGCGTGACACCTATAATTCATTAAATAGTCAGTAGGACAACTGAAGCTCGTCTTTCCAACTCATATCATTTATAGGTACAACATTTTCTTTCTTTCCCTTCTTCTCTTTTTTCCGTTATGTGCTGCTTTGTTCCTTTCTCCTGCTTACGCCAGTAAATATGATAGCACCTACTTTTTCAACACCTTCAAACACTGTTTAACTTTGACTTTGCTACCAACATGCCAATATGCTTTTGTCATAATGAACTCAGATTTCTTTAATCTATGTAGAATTTTATTTATTGATAATGTACTAAGTGGATGCGATACTGTAGTAAAAAGTTTGAGATTTCCATTCTGTATCACAAGTACTGTTTTGGAATAAAGCAAATTATAAATTACAACATCATATATATTTCCTATCTATGTAGGACACACCAGTTGTACAGGTATGGATTAGTATTTTTACATTACATGAATTGGATTTATAGTGAAATTACATGGTTGCTGTCCTCTCTGACATCAATCAGTGAGTACAATCTGATAGCTAGCCATTCAATGGATCACATTAAGAAATATAGAAATATTGTCTTCGCATTAACAAAAAAAGCAAGTATGTGTTGGATAAATTACTAATATTTCGGAAAAAAATAAAGCTTGAAGTCAATTTCTCCATATAACTTTGTTGTGTGCGGCATTGTATCTTGTTTTATGTTCAAATTGGGTATTAATTTAAAATGAGTGATTTATTTTTGTGATTTTGACATCATTCTTATTGCAAGTAATACCAGGTGTGAATTCATCTGAATGCAGATTAATATTGGTCGTAGTCAAGCAGATTTGTTTTACTGCACCCAAGTCACCCAGAGCCCGCCATTTGTCACTGCATGGTTGCTCCGTACGAGGAAGTTGATTAACACGTAGAAAGGTATATGTAAACCATTTGAGATCGTTGACAGTGCTTGTATAAGATGCTGTACAGCGTCTTGTTATGGTGACAGTGGATTTCATCAAGGATGCTGAGCCATTACTAGCCAAACCTTGAGGGATGATATATGAGTAAGTGACTTCAATTGTTTCTCAGTTTCAGTCGAAATGTAGATCTGTGCAACATTATTATTATTAAGAAAGTGACTCATCAACTATATAATGGAAAAAATACTACATTGCTTTTACATTATGAATTTTTGAAAATTATATGAAAATGGGTAACTGCTGACTGAAGATAGTCATTTCAACTCAAAAACAGTACAGATTATTATACTAATAATATAGGTATATATTCTAAAGTTTGGTTTGTAAGGATTAGTTATGTTTTACGAGTTGATCACGGACTGATATCAGTTAGAGAACCATTGAAAACCAGGGAGTACTGGACAGCTGCTGTTTCATCCTAGTTTGGGAATCATCGGCAGTACGCACCCACTGGGATTCGAACCCAGGACCTTCCGGTTACAAGGCAAGCTCGTATACCATTCAGCCACTGGGACCCGATTCAATGGCTCATGAATTCTAACTTCTACCAATTCGTGACTTTAGCGCGACCCCAACTATTGTCGTTGGTGGAAATCCATCCACACGTGACTTCTAATTGGACCTCACTGGTCACGACTTCTCACTAGAACTGCAGGAAGCTCCAACCTGTAGCAAGTCACTAGCGAGCATCAGAATAATCTTCTAAAGTTTGGTTTGTAAGGATTAGTTATGGGGGGTCGCGCTAAAGTCACGAATTGGTAGAAGTTAGAATTCATGAGCCATTGAATCGGGTCCCAGTGGCTGAATGGTATACGAGCTTGCCTTGTAACCGGAAGGTCCCGGGTTCGAATCCCAGTGGGTGCGTACTGCCGATGATTCCCAAACTAGGATGAAACAGCAGCTGTCCAGTACTCCCTGGTTTTCAATGGTTCTCTAACTGATATCAGTCCGTGATCAACTCGTAAAACATAACTAATCCTTACAAACCAAACTTTAGAAGATTATTCTGATGCTCGCTAGTGACTTGCTACAGGTTGGAGCTTCCTGCAGTTCTAGTGAGAAGTCGTGACCAGTGAGGTCCAATTAGATAGGTATATATGTAAAATATTAAAAGATTTGGTTGCTAATATAATTGTTTTTGGATGGAATTTAAAATGGTTAGGTTTTAAATCCTTTAATATATGGAGAGTTTAGGTTGATAAGATTCATCGTCACTTTCATATAGGTAGCCGGTTTTATTTAGCATTTGGCATTTGACAAATTATCATGCATATTCCTCTCCACAAGAACCGGAAACTTGTGAAAATATTTTGTCAAAGTTCAAAATCTACATACGGATATTTAGTCGAGAACTTCGTTCCACGCATTGACATGTGAACAACTGCAATTCTCTAGCGGAAACACATCGCATCAGCACTCCCTTCCCATCATTTTACGCAAGATGAGACTTCCGTGATATAGTGAATAGCACGGGGTTTGATGCCCACTATCCACAATAATATGTAAAGTATAAACCCCATGGTTTCACAGCAAGCAATTGGTCAACTGACTGATAATGATTTACATAAAATTCCGAATACAAAACCATGCAAGGGGCGTCGCCCTGCCCACACTGCAGGCAGATGAACGTAAGTGATAATTGCCTGAGACTGGTTCAATATGAATTTCCGTTTAGAAATGGAAGAATATAACCATCGAAAATTTTAATTGAGCTTCTCTGAGCGTTTTACACTGCGGAAAGGACATTTCCCTCTTAAACCCACTGAAAAATAGGATATGGTAATCACAGCACGAACTGTCTGAATTTTGTGTGTAGCAAAACGTGTCGTACATTTTATAGTCGATTCTAAGAAATTTAGGTGACATAAGTGGAGACATTAAACGCCTTTAGAGCGCATCACCAAGTTAGTTACGACAGTGAACTAGTGGTATTCTCTGAGAAAGTTGATTTAACTTCAAAGCCTTCATGGCAACCCTAGACAACATCTTCAGCTCAGGTATTAGCACAAAATGTATTTATCTGAATTATCCATGAATGATGTAATTGATCTAAATACATGTGTTTGTAAATTGCTAATTAACTTCAGTACCAGTACCAGTTATTAGACTATTTGTAAAGAGAATCCAAAAAATGTAATGCAGAAAAGATGGTGTCGTTATTGTTTGTCTTCACTGTGTTACAGTCAGGATGATTGAGACTTACTGTTTTTTGGAAAAAGATGGTTTAATGCCAGCCAGAGATATTCTCTAAGACGTCCTTTGTGAATAATTCAAGACTTTTTCTACTCTCCCGTGTTAGATGATATTATTCTATGTTATGTGTGGCGATAATTTAATAATCATAGATGACGTTTTGAGCAGGATTTATTGCATTTTTTATCCAAGGGAACGTAATACAGACCTCACATCGCCAACAGTGAAATATTTAAGGCTTCTGAATTTCCATCCACAAGAATCCACAATCAAAATTTATTGGAATTGAAGTCAATATTTCAAAATTATTGATGATTGAAGACAGTTTGAGTAGCTGATACATCACATCGCAATTAAGAGCTGTTGTCATACACATTAAAATTTCAAGCTTTTTTTGTTTGTTGACTCTACTGTTTCTTACGTTCAAGCGGCTGGTCAATTAGTGACCTTGAGTCCAGCTGTTTTTGGTATCGAAATGTCATCTGAGCAATTGCTTTGGGCTGTTAAGAATGGTGACCTACAGACCATTAAAGACTCGCTAGAAAATGTTTGTCATGATAGATTTTAAATAATATATCAGATGTCTAGTGTGAATTATGCTTTGAAAAACAACGGAAGAACGCTTATTCATTATGCAGCTGACTATGGTCAGAAAGAAATATGTGCGTACCTCATAAATAACGGTGCAGACGTAAATGTATGTTTCTTTTAGTCTCTCACAATTATCAAATCTAGATTAGCGACAACTTCGGAGTGACTCCTTTACTTGCTGCTATATACGAGGGTCATGTTGACTGTGTATCTTTGTTGCTTAATAATGTAACTTCAAATTTTCTAAATTAATGTGGTTATTAGGGAGCTAAATTGGGGGTAGCTCCGGATGGTTCAACATATGTCGATTGTGCAACATCCGAAGACATCAGGAATATTCTAAGAAACCACATCGTGGTATGACTATCATTATGTGAGACTATTACGCATACCCTTAAAGTTGTATTTATTGTCTTGTAATTCCAATGCTGCCTTATTGTTATAAAACATCCGTATTATTCTTCGTTTGTACTGGGCCTTTACTTTCGAAACGGCATCTATATGCTTTCTGCTAGTCGCTAATAAATATTTTTGACTTCATTTTATTTTCAGCACGCATAACTTTTGTATGTGATTTTTATGTTCCACTAGATAACTGTAATTTAGGCATTTATGTTTGAGGTGATGGACAATAAATGTTTTCCAAATCATTTGTTTTGTTTTGAACCTATATTTTGTAGGGTTTGTTGTGCTTGTTATCTTTATTTAAAACATGGTACTCCGTTGATAGGAAATAGTTGTTAGCTGGATCTTTGACTGATATAGTTAAGCAGAATCATGTGTATCTTTAAACTTGTTATAACTCAGGTCAACAAGTAGTTTCCTACTGAACATATCTATTCTTGTTGTTTAATGTCATTGCTTGCCACGTAATGCCAACCAAAATCATGAAATTCATGGGTCGTTAGGACTTAAGTCGTCACTTTATGCGACAAGTAGTACCGGTGACTTGTGATAGTCTGCGTCAATACAGTATGCGGGTAAGTCTGATATAGCGGCAGCAAAGGAGTGACAATACCATTTATGTTTTCACTTAGAACATAACTGAGAATTGTGCTTATTAGCACCAAGAAAAGTATCCCCTTCGGAAGTTCATTTTAATAATTTTTCGTCTTTTACATAATAATGCTGACAATACTGCATAATAGTGTTTGAGCGAACATAGTTGGCGAATGCCGCAATTAAGCTGTTAAGTATGTTAATGCGTGAAGCTAGCAACTCCGCCTCGTATGAAAACATCACTACTGCTAAAACTCTAAAGCTTGGATTCCTATGTTTCACTCGCAATGCAAGGCATGAAACATGTCTTGGTACTGGAAGTGCCATTTATTTAACCATTTGGCTGATGGAAAAAATAATTGACCGAAATGTGGCGCTTGACTGTAACAGTTATAATATCTTCTAGAATGATTTTACGAAAATAATATTTGAAAGTCTTCTTCACATCTGTAGATCAAATATAACTCAGAGTCACAAATCCTTCAACTGATTATGTGGGATGGTAAGAATGATCTGCTTTCTATTTTTGTGTAGGTAGTGTTACGCCGTGGCGATTTCATGCTTTCATCTGATTTACAAATAGCATACTTAGTAGAAAAGTTTCACCCTCTTTGATTAGTTCAACTTTCGCATTGTGTGATTTACGAAATGTCACTTGTGATACTAATTGGTTTTGTGAATCTTTTTAAATTAAATCATATATGGTTTGTATGGGTCACCTTAATGCTCTTTGAAACAAGCTTGTTGTTGAGCAATTCACTGTTGTGATTTTTGATGGTAAAGGACTTTCGACAGCTGCTAACATTTAGTTGCTGAAACATCCCATAAATGCCATGTAAAAAGCAGATGGATGAGGGAAAGTTTGTACCTTCATCTGCTGAGGTTATTATGGCATATAAAACTCATACCGAGCCGCTCTCTGCCTCAACATCCCATTACGCGTGATACGGAAGTAGGATGATCTGTGCTATAAGTCTTTAAAAATATGGCATTAATTTGGGAAGTTTCCAGTAGTCGCATTGAATGATTCCATATTTTGCTGGTCGCTGTGGTTAGGATAAACTAGCTCATTTCTTCTCATATTATTTGTCTAATTGGCTCTCCCATGGTTTTGATTCATTTATTGGTCTCTTAAGGTTGTTCTTAGAATATGGTGTTGCTAGAAGTGATATATTTCAGTTAAACTGTTGTTTGCTACACGGCGTCACGAAAAGGCTGCGTCCGCAACTAATATACATTTTTTCTTTTTAAAATTATGTAGCAAGAACTGACTCTGTTTTCTTTCAATTATGTTTTATCACTTGTGATATGATGTAAATATGGGTCATTTTTAATCCCTTATTTACGTTACATATGTGCACTGCATATTGTGCGTGCTTTGTAAAAATAGACTTAACTGTTTGCCTATTGAAGTCTCGAAAGTTAAACTGCGGCATAGATCCTTGATTCATTAGCTAATAGTTGAGCATATATTCACATATATAGCGTACTTTGTTAATCGGCAGATTTAAATTACTTCCTTATGTTAACTTTTGGCAACGTGACATGAATCTCAACTTACACCACACTTTTACTCCACATTCCTTGAAGGGTGTACGCCTGAAGTTTGTTTCTTATCAATAATGCTTTAGTATTTTTGATTTGAACGTTCAGAATTTAGCTTCATGGTCAAAACTGTAAGCTTTTTCAAAATTTGTGTAGCTGGGTACTATTTGTCTGCAACTCTTGGTTTTCCTCCATAATACCCCGACTGTGGTGTTGGTCATTGATTAATTATACAAATGACTTCAACTCTCCCTACAGACAACGTAAAAGGTGTGTTATATTTAGTAATGTGAGTTGGAATAATATTCTTCTCGTCCTCAGGTTTTGGTCTAGTGAAATTATGACGTAGTAAGTGGCTTGCCTTACTTGCTTTCGTAATTAGATGTATTGATTTCCTGATAGAAATATTTAGGTCAATTATTTATTGTTTTTTAGCTGCCCTTTATGTCTGCTTACCATTTTAACTCCTCGTGCTGCATATAAGACCAACGATTATGTACTGTTTTACTCACTTACTACTCATTGAAAAAAACTAGTTTACTTCCATGTCTAATTATCTAATGTGAATTGCCGATAACACAAGTGTGGCTAGTTGTCGCAAACCGGTGAACTATATTTTTCGGAGATGGTTCCGGCCATAATACCAGGCTAGTTAATTATCCCTGCTGGAGCGAAAATCAAAACTACTAAGTATGGTTAGTATCGTAAAATTCAATACTGTGTACAGATTTCATTCAACAGACGTGGTATTAATATAGTTTTATAACAGCTGGTAAACTGTTTCATTGAATGAAGCAGTAATATAAATTCACTCTTATCAATGTTTTAGTAAACAGCCAATTTCCTTTGGGTAGTTTCACTTGTGATTTTAAAATCACTTAAAAATGAAGGTGAGCACACCATCAATTGCTTATCGGATCCAGTTAGCAAGTGCAATAAACTAACTAGCAGTTGACTCTGTTTTTCTCCTAAAGGAAAATCTCTTTGAAATACTAGAACAGTGCAAAAGTCCACCTAACGTCGTGTCTACTTTTCAAGTAAGTTGTAGAGATTTAAAAATGACCCTACTTTTGAACCTCTTTGGTATTTGGTAGACAGAGTTTTATACTTTCCTTTTTCCTGTTTCTGGAAATCAATAATGTTTAAGTAACAAACGATGAGTTATTTGCACATCTTCCATATGGTTATGTTTCCTGTTAGTAATACGAAGTCACATAGGAAACACAATAATCTGCGTTCTGTGCATTTGCTGTTTTCTAAACCACCAAACGTACGGCACATTAACGGGTGATGTTGTTTCATATTAGATAAGTTTTTTCAAATATCACTCAGTGATGCAGTATTAATAATTGGATGACGTTTCGATCAGAAATTATTGCCTATGATCATATCGATGTGATGTGACTGTTTTTTAGCAACGAAGTGTGCTACAATTTGAATAGTTTGTCAATTGAAGTTTCCTTATGAAAAATTTTGTGTGCGTCGGTGGCACAGTGGTTAACACTCTCGCCGACCATGCACATGGTCCGGGTTTCGATCCCCTGCCGGCGCACACCCGATATCTATGGTCGGCCTGAAAAATTTGGGCTACCGATATCCATGCTGAAAATTCCATACTTGTACTGAAAATACGGTGTGGAATCAAGCTGTAAATAAAAAATAAAATAAAATAAAACTGTTTTCTTGGTTAATAATAGTATAATGAATTTTAGTGACAAAAAATGATGGATTAAATACCTACACAAAATAACAAACTTATTCTTCGTGTATTTGAACAGTCTGTCACATGCTGATAGTCAGGTCCTAGAAAGCTCTGCGTGAGTCTTGTATAGATTCAACTGGATACTTTATAGGACCGATTCTTAGAGTTCATGATTTCGTTGAGTCTCCTACAAACGATAAGTAGGCGAAGTGTTGGTGGTTTGCCATGGTAACGACTGTGTCGTTCATCTCATATTTTCACATTTTGTCAAATATCCGAATTCAAAGCCGCTAACTTTTATTAACATGCAAATCACCTTTCTATTAAAGTTCTGAATAAAAATTGGTATGTTCGTTTACGTAGTTGACTTCACTTTAGTTGGAGACTCATTCGAATCATTATTTTTTGGACGACTAAAAGAAGCAGAAATGTAATTTTATACCTACCATTGACCGCCTTCTAAATCACTGATTAACAGTTTGTTATCTGATGACTACTTTCCAGTTATCTTAGATATATCTTCGGTTTCTTAAGAATGAACGTATTCATAATATTAATGTGTGTAATCATTCAGGTAGTCAGCAGGTTCGTGTTCTGATAAATGTTCATTTGGGCTTTGATCATAATCAGTACTTCAGATAATTAGTTAGTTAATAATTATCGCAGCTTTTGGCATATCGGTTTCTTCTTTTTTATTTAGACATAAGCATAGTATTTTTTAAGCACATGAAAGCTTATATTGTGATTCAAATTCACGGTGCTGCTGTAAAAAATATTATAGCTAGTACAGGTAAAAGCAACTACTGGAGATTTGTAGCTCAGGTGAATGTTTTTTGCGATGTGGTTGTGTTCTCTTAGCCGGGTGGTTTAATTGCGAAGCTTTTTTTGTCTAGAAGGAGAGTGACAAGTTACCAAATAAACCACTGGACTCAGATGACACAATCATATCGAGAGGCAACTACACTACAAGTTGTGTGTTGATAGCATTTAACTGTCTAAATGTAATAAACTTTGTTTACTTTCATAAAACACAAAATTAAATTTCTAGTGGTTTTCTAATTAAGCATACTTTCAAGTATTAGTATAAGTACGAAGTTTTTGTGATTTTGAATACCACAGCAATTAACCTATCTGTAATAGGGAAAAGATATACAATGGAAGTGTAAATACAGCCAATGCGATATTTCATCTTAATAATGGAAACAATACGAATATTAAGGCATGATCGATTAACTGTTGACCATGTTCCCTATCCCATTAGTATGTAGGGGACTTTACAGCGAGCTCGGTAACGGAATAAATATTAGAATCAAAATCCAAGTTAATGAAATAATATTGTAACAGTATATTATAAAAAGTGAGTATACAGCAGCACGCTGTATTTTAGATTGTACTCCGAAGTTATGTATATCTTACAATGAATCGTTTTACACGAAAGTTATGTACAATTCATTTGAACTGTGATCAAGATTTGACCGGATAGTTGCAAAATAATTGAGCGCTGAGTGAGAAGTAGACATTTATAAAATTATATATGTAAAATCTCAGCGAAATTGAAATGATTAATTCCAACGTTTCGTTCGGCAATCTGGTCCGAACTCCTTCAGGGAAATTAATCGAAATTAACATAACAGAGATTTATGTGTAAAACGAACAACTCTTGTTTCTAAACTTTGTCCAATCATGAGTCATGCGACAGGCATCAACATGTATAATAAATGAATAAATAAAATAGTATGTTTATATATAAAAGTACATCTCTTGTTTTAAATTGTTTGTCCTGTCATATGAATCAAGAAACAGCTGTCAATAGGTATAATAAACAAAACAAAACATTTTTATGAACTGTGATCAAAATTTGACCTCAGACTTTCAAAAATTAGTCTACTTTTGTTAAAGTATATATGCAGTATACAATGGTGTGTGTGTGGGTGAACAGTCATAAAACATTTGTTATTCTCATATGAGCTGTGATCAAGATTTGACCGGACAGTTGCAAAATAATTGAGATTTTTAAATATAAACAGAATTTTATCCATTTATTTATTATACATGTTGATGCCTGTTGCATGACTCATGATTTTGGACAAAGTTTAAAAACAAGAGTTGTTCCTTTTATATATAAACCTCTGTTATGTTAATTTCGATTAATTTCCCTGAAGAAGTTCGGACCAGATAGCCGAAAGAAACGTTGGAATTAATCATTTCAATTTCGCTGAGATTTTACAAATATAATTTTATAAATGTTACGTACAATGTTTCCATTTTTAGCATCTAACGAGAAACTGTACAATTATATTGTTCCAGACTCCACCAGTATGCATATATATATATATGATTTACAGCTTGATTCCACACCGTATTTTCAGTACAAGTATGGAATTTTCAGCATGGATATCGGTAGCCCAAATTCAGGCCGACCATAGATATCGGGTGTGCGCCGGTAGGGGATCGAACCCCGGAACATGTGCATGGTCGGCGAGAGTCCTAACCACTGTGCCACAGTCGTATGTCGTCAGTTGTGGTAATTTCTTTTGCAGTTTTCAGTGATTGTGAAATCATTCATTGTTTTAATACTCAGTAACGTATTAAAAAGTGAATTTCCTTATCCACCCGTTGTGCCCAACTGGGTAGTTAACTTAACACGTCAGAAAACACCCTGACAAAATTGTAAATGATGTTAACTATTCTGCGCTAACTCCAAACTGCATGCTAAAAAATGAAGTGATAAAAGGCGTTAGTTGCTTCATTTTGCTGCATGAATTCCTTAACCTTATCTGGTTAATTGGTGATGAAGTGTTAATACGGATACGGAAAGTTGGTCCAGTAATCGCCACCTTGCGTCATTTCTGACTCCTACCAAAAGCGATTCGTTTTATTCTAATCTGCGGTCAAGACATAGCTGATGAAAGCTGACTTGAATAATACAGGTTTTTGATCATAGTTATCTTGGTGTTATCCTTTGTATGTATTGGAACCACACTGAGTAATAAACTCACTAAAAGTAGTGTTAGGTAAGGATGACAAACTAGCCACTGATATTCTATGTTATAGTTTCTTTTCTAATTGGTCAACCGATCTTGTTATTATGTATATTTCTGTTTTTTCTTTTCTACACATTAGGTTTTGTATTTCTGTTTTTCGGGATAAACCGTAAATAATGTCAAATTCTGGTGTCAGGTTTTGTCTCACTGTACCTAAATCACTGAAACATGCAAAATATTCTGACGATGCCTATCAAGTACGTGTTGTCAATAGATTGGCTGAATGTTTTAAAGCTTCATTAATGGAAAATCGTTTGATGTCTACTTTCATTCCTCACGATAATAAGCCACTGAACATTGAATGTGATGATTTACCAACATTTACACCATGTTGCGCATTGCATGAAATATCAACGACTGATGTATCTCATCATTGCAATCATTCTACCCATTTTGTATTGATACACATACCGAAGTTATGGCTAAAACAATGTGCATCATTATTAAGACCAGATATGTCAATCAATAAACAAGGTCAGTTGTTCCTTTATATTCATCATCGGGAGTAATTTTTTTCACTATATCGCAGGTAAACGTTTTTTTAATCATGTGGTATTCTATTTGATATTCCACGTTGGATAAGAGCTTGAAGGCGAAACAACTGGCATTTAGAAGTATAATCTTGTTTATACTAAGGAGATAGTGACTTGAGCTGAAATGGAAGCATGATTCTCGACAGCATTCTGATCGATACCCTTCTGCTTTCTGCTGCACTGACTGAGGCAAGAAAATTAAGTATGAAGCATCTGTCAGTATCATTTCACTTACTGGATTTTCTGAAAATAAGCCATCTGCAATAATTATTGGTCAACTAGTTGAATAATTTTAAATTGTTTACTTGAACCACTTGAATAATAGACAGTCTAATTCAATGTTCTAGTTTGTTCTTATCAAAAATCGACGTCGATCGTGCACTTACAATAAAGCCTAATTTAAAAGACAATTATTTGGAATGTTCGAAACTAGGACGAAACAGTCATCTAGTGCTCTCTGGTTTCAAGTAGTTCTTTAAATGATGTCAATTCCTGATCTATCTTGTTATCAGACAAATCTTTGGAAACTGAAATTTGAAAATAAATCATGTTAAACTGGCCTCTCTATAGTCTGCTTGCTGGAAATCTTTAACTGACTGAGCAGTTTCAAGTCAAAATGTATGACTTCTCGAGTCAATTGATTACATTGATGATGTTAAATCATGTACTAGTGATGTGTATGCGTAACCATCACAAGTTGAGCGAGGTAGGAGTTATTAGTCAGTCACCACATAGTTTTCAATTCAATCTTAGGAAAACCTAAGTGTATTCATAATCATGGAAAACTTGACCCTGACGATGTCTTCGTATGAGGATGAAAGCTGAAAGTAAACGGAAGAACACAGAAGGCTTTTTCAAATTACCAAATTTGCGATTATACTCGTGTCATAATTATTTGGAGTAAAATAACAACTTAGCGCTAGTTGGTTATTGATAAATGGATAAATTTACTGAAGTACCTGTATAAAGTGTAACCTGCAAGGTCAGTCACCAATAACGCTAGATGATGATCATCGCGTGCTGCTACTAAAAAGCTGTAAGAAAATCAGGTTAACTAAACTTAAAGTTAGTAGTTAAATGGTGACTTGTTGCGGGATACAACACATCTCGTATGGATCTTCAGTCGAAGTCGCTGGGGGGTAACCGAGTTGATCGATAGAGCTATACAGTATCTTTTTAGGTCGTCGTCGTTATTCTTCCGGCATTATTTAGTGAGAAAAATAACTCTGAAATATTTTGTTGACCCATTGATGTGCTACTTATTATTCTTAAAAATTTCCTTTACTTCTGTCCTCACTTAATTTTCATTTTTGTGCGTAATTTCTACAACGTATTTTACAGAACTTAATAACTGTGTTGAAAAGTTAACTAATGGACAAAGTGCTTGGCTTGCTGAATTGGCTATTCGTAGTTTAATTCTATCCAGATTACAAGTGGAAAGCCTCATAAATGACTTAGATCTCCCACCAAATTTAATGGATAATATCGATGATCAGATATCGTCGAATCGTTCTGCTTTATTCACTTTGGAATGTTTAGGTCTAATAACCGATTTAATAAGAAGTCATGATAAAATAGAAAGAAGATCCATTTGGAAAGATTATTTTGCCACTATACATTTTTTTCCAAATTCTGAAAAGTTACGCCAATACTTTGGTGATTCAATTGGTTTCTATTTTGTATGGATGAAATTATATTGTATGTATTTAGTATGCCCGTTAATTGGTGGACTATTCTGTCAAATGTTTAATTATCTGAATGAACAGTTGTTCGACGACAAACAAGTATCTCTAGTAATACATTTAGTTTATACAATTTATATTATTATCTGGGCTGTTGTCTGTACTAAACTATGGCAACGTGAGTATATTTCATGTGTTGACAGATGGTCGGGGAATGCATTAATTGAATTAGCTGCAAATGATTTAGTATGGTTGTTTAATTTAATTGATCAAAGACCAAATTTTCATGGTATTTGGAGAAAAAGTCGTGTCACTGGTCTAATGGAATTACACTATCCCGCAAGTAAACGTCGTCTGCGTTATTTGGTGTCAGGTTGCATTACATTGATTTGTTTATTCTGGGCAGTGTTCATTAATATTTCATTGTTGAACATGGAAGTAAGTTACTGGTATCCTATTATTATTATTATTATTAATAATGGTAGTAGTGGTGTTAAAAACTTATTTTGTAGATATATTGACCTGTGTTTATAAGTTGCATTGATTTGTAACCATGCAGGAAAGGAGAGTATCATTTGTTAGGGTATGCGATGATCTTGCTGTTCATATTTTCCCCTTTCAGTCAATATAGTTGGAGTTGGGGCGAGATCTGATTGGGTTGGTTATGTGGTAATGCTGAACACAGACAATTACGTATCATTTATTTACACGATAATTGGCTTAAATGGAAGTCAGTTGGCAGTTGCGTCCTGTAACTCAGTCCATTGAGCATTGGTCCACCAACTCAGAGGCCTTAGATCTAGATTTTCATTTCATTTCCAACGGTCGTTCTTTTACGCTTTCATATTGTTAGAAAACTCAAGGTTAAAGGAATATCTAAATGAAGTCACAATTTTGTAAATTATTGGCTTAGAGTTACAGAAAGCATCTGGTTTATCTTTCTATTCCACCGATATGAGGATTCTGTAGTTTTTCCTTGCGTTGGTGGCACAGCGGTTAGGACTCTCGCCGACCTTACACATGGTCCGAGGTTCGACCCCCGCCGACGCACACCTGATATCTATGGTCGGCTTGCTAAATTTGGGCTACCGATATCACATGCTGAAAATTTCATATTTGTACCAAAATACTGTGTGGAATCAAGCTACAATAAAATAAAAAAAATTAAATAATTGTCATGAACGGCATTGATCTCTGACGTTCAAAGGTGACTTGTCTCACGAATCCTACTTAACAGTCGTCTATGTGCATTCCAAATAAATGGAATCGGAAAGTCAACAAAAAATTGCGACATACGTCTAAGTGGTTCTTAGTCTTTGCTCAGTTAAAATCACTGTGAAACAACAGGACTTGACTTTAGAGGTCTTCAAGAATGGCAGTGAAAAACAAGCGAGATTATTGACTAAGGTTCCAGCTATACAAAAATTTGAAATAGTTACACCACGGTGGTTTAACAAAGAAAAAGCTGTTCAGAGAAAACTTCAAGGTGATTAATTTGACTTTTACGATATCTGAGATACTACACCCTATAGTCATACAAAGTCTAAGCAGAGCTGCTGAAGTACCAAATCGTTTTCATTTACGGATGAGAGTGTAAAAAGTCAGTTGCAGCGAAGACAATTTTCTTTTCGACGAAGTCATCATCTAGGCTGTACATTCGTGTATTTATATCAAATGGATGGGAAAGTTCCAGAATAATTTCTGGTTAGGGGTTAAGTTAATAAAAATTACAATTAGGAATAAGAATGCCACAATAAACAGGGGGATGGGTAAAACTCAAACAAAGTAGCATAATAACTAAGAAGATTGACATTGTGCAATTGGAGGTTAGAAATGTAAAAATAACAAAATATACAGGATGTTTGGATAAAAAACTGGTGTGATGAATAATTGTTTATGCAGTCAGGGATTAAATATGTAGAAATAGTAAAATGACAAAATAAACAGGAAGTGTGGATATGAAAATATGGTAGTGTAGACAGGGATTAAGAAAACTTAAAATAACATGAATAAACAGGAAGTTTAGATAAGAAAGACGATGGGATGGTCATTATTAAAAAAAATTTGCATAAACAATTATTCATCACACCAGTTTTTTATCCAAACATCCTGTATATTTTGTTATTTTTACATTTCTAACCTCCAATTGCACAATGTCAATCTTCTTAGTTATTATGCTACTTTGTTTGAGTTTTACCCATCCCCCTGTTTATTGTGGCATTCTAATTCCTAATTGTAATTTTTATTAATTTAACCCCTAACCAGAAATTATTCTGGAACTTTCCCATCCATTTGATATAAATACACGAATGTACAGCCTAGATGATGACTTCGTCGAAAAGAAAATTGTCTTCGCTGCAACTGTGGTGAGAGCTGTCTACTAGCCAAATTGGTAGACAGTAATTTACGTCAATATTTAAGTTCCCAAGATTTGTCGTGAGAAAATGTGAACAAAGATTGATTCAAAACCGACCACAGCAGACTTTGCGTAGGCGGATGCAGTTAACATATAGAGGATTTGACATTCAAGAAACAGTCACAAGTAGATGAAAGATTAACTTTACGTGAGAAACAACCAATCGGAAGACTGTGTTTGTTTGCTTAAATATCCATAGTAATGTACATGAAAATATATAAATATGCGTTGATTTCCTTAATAAATGATCTGTTGCCTGACTCTTGCCTTCTGTCGTTACACAACTGTCTTTTTATTCCCTAGGATGAGAGTGTATTGCTCATGTTATTCACTGCTCAACATGAACAGTGACACAGGCATACTTGTTGGCTTCCGACATCTGTCATACTTCCTAACCTAAAAGTGGCATTCTATTCCGTTGATGGAAAGATGTTGTGGCAGTATATGGTTGTCATATTGTTAAAAGTGTTTTAGGTTAACTAATGCCTTCTATTTATATTTAAGCCACAGTGGGAAAATTCCATTATAGAATAAATTTATTTGATATAAGCACACAGATATTGATATGACTATGAGCAATAAGTTGTACTCAAAACATCACCAGTAAATAATACACTGTGTGTTTTTATCAGATAAATCCACTTTGTGATGGAATTATATTCTACTACAGTACACAAGTTCTATTTTTATGTCGTGTGATAACTTATGGAGTATTGATATGTGAGGTGAAGATATCAAATGGTGACCTTCAGGAATATTGAACTATCCAATCCTGCTTTCAACCTATTTTGTATGTGCTGGTGGATGTGAATCCATTTAATTTTATTTCCTACTAGGAAAAGAACTGCAGATTACTGAATCCTGTGACTTCTTAAACTCCGATACATCTTCGGTATGTCTAGCTCATTATTGGCAGTTAGTTGGCTGGAAAAAAAGAGCTCGACCTATTAGTTCACTTGATCACGAAGGCACATAAGGGAATTTTTTTCATCTAGGGGTCAGAACAGCTGATCGAATATGCATGTGATTGAAAAATATAAATTTAATTATGGGTGTTGACATGACACTGTACAGGGAATATGAAATACAGTTTATTTATGGAGTAGCCTTCCTTGTTGTCACACTTTCTGTAAATTTAGAAACAGACCTAAGATGTACATTCGAAACTGGTAATTACATCCTGATGACCGATTGTTTTGGTTGATTGGTAAATATGCTTTTCTTTCCCTCTTTATTATTTCACTGAGTTTTTATATTGTCACTTTTGCCTTTGTACAATGACAATTTCAACATATTTTATTTTTAACAGTTCCTATATTTAATCTTGCAGTATTGCTAAATAGTTTACTTTTTACTAATTGTAAAGTGTTTTTTCCACCCATCACATTCATAACGTGTGCTCAAAGTGACATCAGCACGTCTGTTTTAAAAGCTTAGTCTCTCAAGTGTTAATATGAGGCTATGACTTCGTTTTCCAGTTAAGAAGATATCACTACATTCTAAAAGAAGAAATGGAATGTAAAACCTCTTAGCTTCACATGCAACAAAAAAGGGTTGATGAGTCGCTAAGCATATATATATGTATATATATTATATTATATATATATATATATATGCAAATTATATGGTAATTAGTTATTTTATGAGTGTCACTTGTTGTCAGTAGAGAAGGGGAGTGAATTTAATAGTGATTGCATCTCTATGATCTTAGTTTAAATTTATTTACATTCACCCACACAATGGTTCCAACTGTCATTATATAATCGATATCAGTTAGTGTGTAATGCATTGTTTTACTGTTGCGATTACCAGTTTGCATATTTATAATGCTAGTGGAGTTCAGTTTGATTCAATAATTTGGTCACTGGGTCATAGATATAGGGAAATGTGTCTTGTGTATTACGTGCCTACAGCCATAGGTCCTACAGCCTAGTGTAAGTTTTCAGGTGTTCTTTCCTAGTTGAATCTTTTTGTGAGTTTTCTTCTTGTTGAACAAGTATTTTACAATAGTAATTACATTAAGGAAAGTGTAGTTAGGCTGTATCATAAGTTATTTAACATAAAATATCCTACTATTGAAACTCAACTCCTTTAAAGTTGTTTCCGAATTATCCATGACGCCAAAATCAAAGAGTAGTGATGAATTCAGATAAGCTTACCTTGGATTCAACATAGAACTTGGCACCGAGGTGCAGCAGTTCGAGTTGCCACTTACTTACTTACTTGTTGTTTAAAACAGTAAAGGAAATTAGGTAAATACTCTTATTCACAACTAAGACACTTTCCTAGAAGACTTGCAAAGTGTTGACATCACTTTCACAGATATCTTCCCCCAACAGGCTATTCTATACAATTGTCGAACACTCACTATATTTCCATAGTAGAATAATTTTATATGATATACCACATGGTAACACAGTGCTATTCAATTACTGATGGAACAATACTTTACAACAGAGGCATTTTATATCATATTTCTTGACGTGAAGGCGGTATTCGAGTCTATTAGTCAAGAGGCGCCTTGATAATTTCTGGTGTTGTTTAGTATAATATGGTCTGTAATAATGAAGTTTGGTATAATGCCAGGTAAAGACTGGAAGTCATCTGATGAGATTGTGAGGCCCCATCGATTGAGCTGACTAGGTCATGTGTGTCGAACCATCTCCCTCTTTGTCGACCAATATAAGCTGATGTAATATTAGTTTGGAAAAGAGTTAGAGGTAATTAGAGCAAAACATGGCACCAGTATATGGAATCATTGACTATTGGTTTGAGCCACCGTAGGGAGGTGTGATTTGCGCATTTAGGGTCCTCAAGATAGTAAGAGTCAATGGTTGGGGACTATTGTCTATATGGCTGGAAATCGTTCTCAATGATACAGATGCATTTACTCTTTTCAATCTCCTGGATTCATTAGATCCTCATTATTCTCCACGAAACTATCCTCTCTCACAGTCGTTTCTGATTATCTTACTTTCTTTTCATTTCTTTACTTTTGTATGAATTCATCCTTTGTAGTGAA